GTAAATGGCTATTATATTGTTTAATTTCAGAGTATAAAACAAAGGACATGACTACACACACACACACACACACACACACACACACACACACCACACACACACACAACTTTTTTCTTGACCCAGTTAGCAAAGACTAAAAACATAGTCAAAGCGAGGAGAACGCAGTAAGCAGGGCGGCCTTGTTACATAGTTAGTGACGGTGCCATCCACTGTATATTAATGTCATATCTATAAGTGAAATGCCGGAATTGTTACTATTTTGTATATATGTGCACTTATATGCATATACGTTGTGTATATGTTTATAGTAAAGTGTGTCATTAATATTTGTTTATGTATATATTATTATATATGTACACACATTATAAAATAAAAATTAATTTAGCTAGAGTGTTTTAACTTCTAATATTTTAATCTATCAACTTTTTTTCTTACTCTACTGAGCTTCGGGATCACTTTCTCAGAATTCTACATTTCCCTATTTGGGAGTCCATAAGCAAGTCAACTAGCAATGGGAGAGAAGCAGAAATTGATCTTGTCTTTTGATTTTTAGCTGATTTTTGGCACCAAGAAGAAGCACAAATGATCCCAATAGCCATGCTCTCTGGACAACATATTTAATTTCTCTGCACTGTTATCAACTGCTTTGAAAAGTTGACATTTCTGGGATTTAAACTTGGCACCATAACTTTGACATATAGATAAGCTTTCCATCTCAGAGTATTTACAACAGAACCCAGAAACATACTCTCTCCAGGCCTTCTAAGGATTCTGAACAATTACATTGTGTGTGTGTGTGTGTGTGTGTGTGTGTGTGTGTGTGTGTGTGTGTGTTCGCGCATGCATCTGTGTATTTCCCTTGGGAATATACAAGGAGTGGAATTACTAGATCACAGTACTATATGAATGTCTTCCAATTTACTAGATAATGTCAAGTGTTTTCTAAATGGTCTCGCCAATTGAAACTGTTGCCTACAGTATATTTATTTGGGACTTCATTAATGACTTAATAAAGTTTTAGATTATTTCCAGTAAAAGTATTACATGTCTATGGTGAGGTTTACTTCTAGATACTTGTAAATTTCCAGTAATATTTCTTTAAGTTTTAGTTTTCTGAATATTATTGTTGGTATACAAAAACACAATTGATTTCTTAAATTATTTTTGTACTGATTTTGTATCTACTAATCTTGCTAAACTCTGACTCATTCTAATAGTTTGCTTGCCTTCTTATTTCTATGTTTATACTCATATGCAAATAGGAACAGTTTAACTTCTTCATATCATTAATTTGCTATTTTACTGCCCTGATTAGGAATTTCTGTACAATATTGCAGAGCAGGCGTCATAGTGGACATTCTTATCTTGTCACCTTTTCTTTTTACATCTCAACCCTTCCAACTGCAATTTCTTCCCTTCTGCTCTTTTGCATTTCTTTTAGTGAGTGTCTATTGCTGATAACTTTATTTTTTTTGCTTTATTTTTTAATTAAATCTTTATTGTTCAGATTATTACATTTGTTCTTCTTTTTTCCCGCCATAACTCCCCTCCACCCAGTTCCCACCCCACTTTCTGCCCTCACTCCCGACCCACTGTCCTCATCCATAGATGCACGATTTTTGTCCATTCTCTACTCGCATCCCCACATCCCTTTCCCCCCCAAGAATAGTCAGTCCATTCCCTTTCTATGCCCCTGATTCTATTATAATCACCAGTTCATTCTGTTCATCAGATTATTTGTTCACTTGATTTTTAGGTTCACTTGTTGATAGATGTGTATTTGTTGTTCATAATTTGTATCTTTACCTTTTTCTTCTTCTTCCTCTTCTTAAAGGATACCTTTCAGCATTTCATATAATACTGGTTTGGTGGTGATGAACTCCTTTAGCTTTTTCTTACCTGTGAAGCTCTTTATCTGACCTTCACTTCTGAATGATAGCTTTGCTGGGTAAAGTAATCTTGGTTGTAGGTTCTTGGCATTCATCACTTTGAATATTTCTTGCCACTCCCTTCTGGCCTGCAAAGTTTCTGTTGAGAAATCAGCTGACATTCGTATGGGTACTCCCTTGTAGGTAACTGCCTTTCTTTCTCTTGATGCTTTTAAGATTCTCTCTTTGTCTTTTGCTCTTGGTATTTTAAGTATGATGTGTCTTGGTGTGGTCCTCTTTGGGTTCCTTTTGTTTGGGGTTCTCTGCGCTTCCTGGACTTGTAAGTCTATTTCTTTCACCAGGTAAGGGAAGTTTTCTGTCATTATTTCTTCAAATAGGTTTTCAATATCTTGCTCTCTCTCTTCTTCTGGCACCCCTATAATACAGATGTTGGTATGCTTGAAGCTGTCCCAGAGGATCCTTACACTATCTTAATATTTTTGGATTCTTTTTTCATTTTGCTTTTCCAGTTGGGTGTTTTTTGCTTCTTCGTATTTCAAATCTTTGACTTGATTCTTGTGATCATCTAGTCTGCTGTTGGGAGTCTGTATAATATCCTTCATTTCAGTCAGTGTATGCTTAATTTCCAGTTGGTCCTTTATCATAACCTCAAGGGTCTGACTAGATTTCTTGAGGATCTCACTACATTTATCGGCGGTCTCACCAGTCTTTTCGAGGGTCTTACTAAATTTATCTGCAGCTTCTAGAAAGTTCTTGAAAAACCTTAATAGTGTGGTTTTGAACTCTATATCCAGTAGTTTCCTTTCCTCCATTTCTGTCATGTGTGTCCTGTTTCTTTGTCTCCGCATTTTTTTATGCTGCCCTGTGTTGATAAAGTGGTTTTCTGTGCTGAGTGTCCTCTAGGGCCCAGTGGTTCAGCCTCCCCAATTACCTGAGGAGGACACTCTTGGTGCACCCCCTTGTGGTCTTTGTGCACAGTCTTGTTGTAGTTAAGCCTTGATTGTTGTAGTTATCACTGGGAGGGATTGACCTCCAGGCCAATTGGCTGTGAGAATCAGCTGTGTCTGCAGTGGAAGAACTTCTGTGCTGGAGACACCCCCCCGGGGCAAGACTTGCTTCAATGGGGCTTTGGTGCTCACTGAGTCTGACCCCTGAGTGTGTCCTTTAAGGGTCCGAGGAGGTGCAAACTGGATGGTCCCACTTCAACCACTGGGCACACTCGCTCCTGGTTCTCTAGGGAGGTGCTAATCTAGCCTTTGCCTGAGGCTACCCAGCAAACGCCTCCATGCAGGGCTTGGGCGGGGCGGGTCTCACGGGATCAACAGGGTGGGGCTAGCAGTTATGGCTGCTCTCAGTCCTGCCCTCAGAGGCTCTGTTTCTCAATGTCTCGGTAATCGCTGCAAGCCCCTCGGAGAGAAAGCTGCCCTTGAGTCCAACCGATGTCAGACAGTCCCGCTTTTCCCGTATGAGTCTGGGTCCCTAGAGACTCGCCCAGAACTGGAGCTCAGAGCCTGAGACTCCCTCCCGATTGAAAAAGACAACCGTGCCCTCAGCCGCCAGCCCACTCCGTGTGCGCCTCTGCACCTTAGTATTTTACTTCCGCACCGCTCCTCCTCTGAGTCTCAGTCAGCTTTTCTCTGTCCTTCTAGTTGTAGAATTTCCACTCAGCTAGCCTTCCTGTGGTTCTGGATGATGTCTGTTCCGTCTTTTAGTTGTATTTTTGAAGTTGTTGTGCAAGGCAGCAAACTCTGGTGTTTACCTATGCCGCCATCTTGGTTTCTCTATTGCTGATAACTTTAAATAATCTGATTTAAGCTTTTTCACTGGTAGATATTTTTGTTGAGCATAGACTTCTAGCTCACCAGCAATTGTTTTTTCAGTGCATTGAAGGTTGTTGTCACTATCGTCTGACTTTCCCTTTTGCTTTAGAGAGGGCGTGTCTTTCTAATAAAGTGTAGTAGCCTATATTGAAGAAAAAAAGTTAGGGAACCAGCTTTCTAATGCTAACTTTGTCAGATATTTACTACTCTAAGATTTAGAGGACCACTGAGAAGTTTAGAATTATAATTTGAAAATCTAAAGTTATTCAACCATTACATAAGAGTGGGCTCAGATACCATCAGATGACACTGGATTAATAAGACAGGATTTATTTTGGCCACAAGGAAATGAAAGAAAGAGAAGGGAAGGAAGGAAGAGGTAAAGAAGGAAGGAAGGAAGGAAGGAAGGAATTAGCAACTAACAGTGACTTAAAAGATATTTACTGTTTGCTTAATTAGTACAGAGATTTGGAATTTATTTACATAACAGTTCATGAATATACCTGTTCCATACAAGAAGGCATGTCTGCTCTTAAGTTAGGGTATGTGTAAGTCTATTGATATTTTGGAAGTTTCTGTCACTAAGCATCCCCTAACCAAAGTTGTTGGCCTATAGGAAATGCATAACTAAAAAGAACTTTAAAGTCATTTTTTTTTCTCTAGTCTGTACTGCATACCATTTTGCCAGAGGGTCAGAGAGCATCACATCTCAGATTAATTGGAAACACCACCTCAATTTTGCTGTATCATGTACACTTCTATCTGTGAGAAATGAGAAAGAACCAAAGACATTCTTTTCAGTTCCTGCTCATCTAAAAGATTAGGAGTCATCAGCAACAGTGACAATTATTACCTAATCTAAATATAATGTGCTAACAAGCAGGCACGGTTTACTGTGGATAATCCTTGATTTATATAATTAAGAGCTACCAAAGTGTACTTATCTCTTATTTTTATTTTTAACTGTAGCTAAAGCCATTGTAATGTGTTTTTCCTTGTCCATCTCAATGTAGCCAGTGACTTATAGATAGTGCAGTAGAATTTAGTCACCATTCATCTAAATTTACCATGATCCAGTAATATCAATATTGTCTTTTTTTTTTTTTTGGAAAGTTTTAAAATTAGTCATCACCATAATCCCTCTGCTTAGCCACAGAATTCTGCAATCTTTATAATTAAGGAGTGGCTTTGTGAGCTTTTTTTAGAAGCAAAAATTAAATTCCTAACCTGTTAGAAATCAAATTTAAGGGATTTCAAGTAAGTTTTGTGAAATAAGGAGGGCAAGTGTTTATATCTGCTCAGAGTCATTCTCACAGTTGAGATAACATTCTACATGTCATTTCTAAAGGGAGCAATTTTTTCTGTTTATTTTTCTCCAACTAGTATCAATTTGTACTTTGGGATTGAAATTGGGATTTTTTTTTTTTTTTTTTTTTTTTTTTTAGGAAATGGATGCCTATTAGTTTACGTAACCCAGACTGAATAAATACACAGTTATTTAACATAAATCCAGTGTTTCCTAACTTCTAACCCAGAGAGTGAGCACAGGCATTGTTAGCATCGCATCTGGGATACCAGCACCCTCAGGATGGATGGAAAACAAGGGCAGCACGCTGGGGATACTGAACAAAATGCAGCTGAGCTGGTGAGTATTGCAAATAGCCTTTAATCTTTCATGTCTAATATTCTTGCTTTCGACCTTTAACCCTTCAAGAAAATTAAGTTGCACATCTTTGATGTTTGCTATTATAGAATCTGAGATTTTATTATCACTAATCACAAGTGTTGAGGGAGTTATTTAGTATGCCAAATAGTGCTCTCACATCACTTGGGAATTTTGCATTAGACTTTTCGCTTAAATTTTGATATTTATATCAGAAGACACCAGAAGACGAAATTTGAGTAGATGGTTTGAAATGTGTTTATAGCAAATATTAACAATATTATTTGTATTTCTGAATATTTTGATCCAATGAAAATATTTATTCTCATTGGCCTACTTGTACTTAAAGTGATAATTTATGAAAAATGTCTTACGGCAGAGGAACATATGCTTAAAATGTGTTACTCTAGTAATGCAAAAATTCTATTTCTTAGAACATATAAAGCGACTCATTCACAAACAAATCCTTTCATTTTACAAATGAGGAAAGTGAAACATTAGAAGTCTAGCTAGCCAGTGGCAGAACCAGAAATTAAACTCAAATTTCTCACATATAATCTATTCATTGTAATGGGCTACTTTTCAAATATCTGGACTACTATGTTCCTAACAAAGAAAAATAAATTTTATAATTAGCTTGAGGTTGTAGAACCAAGCCACAAGTGAAACAAAATAAATACAAGGCTAGGATTTGACATCAAATTGCTTTTCAACTTGAAGGCTGTATTTGGGGATTCATTAACGGTACCACCATAGCATTAATGGATAGCATGCCTTATGTGTGAAGGAAGCTGAAAAATGTCACTGCTTTAGTATCTTTTATACATTATTTTGTTTCTGTCTCCTTTTCATAATATATTAAATGAGCTGTGGTTATTCCATTAAGTCATATATTTAGTTAATTATGCTAAAAAACACGAACAGTAAAATCAACTTCTGAGACTGTGAAAGGAAATAGTTAGAATTTCCCATTTTTTTAGTAATCTGATGACAATCTCTTAGATCCCCCAAAACAAGGGGCAGGAGACATTTTTTTTAAACAATTATTCTATGATTTTAGAACATTTGGAAAATTACAAAGAAAGAGTCACTCATGATCCATCCCAGAGAAAACCACTGCTAATATTTTGCTTTCTGTCTCCTTTTACCCCAATCAAATGTAATTTTATTGTTGGTTGATTTATTTTGCCACATTAAATTTTTGTCTATTTTTTTTTCCTGTAAAATTTCCATAAAGCTCTTAATTAAAATTTAGAGCATTGAGAGCTTATGCTACTGAAACCTTCTATAAGAGGACATTTATTTAAGCTGTCTTTTTGTTCCTCAGTAAAGTTCCATGGTTTTCTTTATATAAGCCCTATGGTATTTTATATGCTTAACCATTTCATATGTTTTATTACTATTGCAGTTGCTAATACATACACACACACACAAACAACAAGTACTGTTACATATATTTTTCATATTTTGATATATGGGATTCTGTTTGTACACAATTATATTAAGTGGACATAATGCTAGTTTTATCTTCACATTTTCATTATTGCTCCATGTTGATGAGAACGTCTAATAAAACAAAATAAATGAACAAACAGAACAGGAGCAGACTCATAGGTGCAGAGAACATTTTGATGTTTGCCAGATGGGGAGGGGGTGGGGAGCTGGGTGAAAAAGGTGAAGGGATTAAGAAGTACAAATTGATAGTTACAGAATAAGAATGTAAAGCATAGCATAGAGAATAGAGTCAATAATATTTTAATAACTATGTGTGGTGTCAGATGGGTGCAAGATTTATCTGGATGATCACTTAGGAAGTTATAGAATGCTTAATCACTGTGGTGTACACCTGAAACTAATATAATATTGTATGTGAACTGTAATTGAAAAATAAGAAATGATTTACAATTTTAAAAATGGGAACAATATTACCTAATATTGGTGGTAGGAGATATTCTTCACTCCTGACTTTAAAGGAAGGTGCCTGACATTTCACTGTTATATATGATGTTGGTCATTGATTCGAGGTCAATATTCCTCACCACAATTGGGAATTATTTTTTTATTTTTATTTCTTTGAGATTTGTATTGTTTGTCTGCTTTTGTCACAACGGACTACTCAAATTTGTTGAATGACTCTTGAGCATCTACTGAAATGTTCATTTATTTTTCTTTTTTGATCATTTGATATGAAAAATGTATTTTTATAATTTATATCATTAAATCATTTTTAGGGTTTCAGATTCTCCTAGATTGATGAGTTCTTCATTTGATACATGTTAGAGTCATATAATTTTTAATATATTTTATATGTCTATGTTTCTGGTTCAAATAAACTTTCTTTAACCTCAAAAACCAGGGTTGGTTGTCTGTTTTAAATTCTTTCTCTGCAGTTACCCAGAAATCCATACTGTTCAAATTGCAGAACACACTGTTGTTGTAGATCGTCTCCTGTGACCTTCCAGCCGCAATGGGTAAGGTTTGAAAACTGGGGGACATGGGAAGTTTTCAGTAGTCCTTTGGCACAAAGGAAAAATGGAAAAATGGGACAGGTAGGCCCGAAACTCCTGCCCCCCCTGCAGGGCTCTCCTCTCCTTTAACCCTTCATTTGCTGCTGTCTTTTGGCTCTTCAACCCTTCTTCAGAGCTTCCCTCCACAATCTCTGGGCAAAACCTAGAACCTGCAGCCCCCAATCTTTTATCAGTGCTGTAGTCTGTTCCTTTAAGATCCCCTCCATACTAGAGATTTCCCATTTTAATGTCTTTCTAGGCTCAGTGAAAGTTCTTTCATTTATGGTTAATAGATAAAAATGTATTTAATAAATAATTCTATAATTATAAACTCTCAATAGATAATGTGAAAACAGGAAATAAAGATGAAAAAAAGAATATTTGTTAATTTTCCTCACCCAAACATAACCAATCTAAATGTTTTGATATGCCTACACATTATTTTTCTACCCATGAGGACTAATTAGATAATTTATATTGCAATGTTAGTAGCAGATAATAACTTAATGTAATATATTCCTGAGGCAATCTACTTGCATTTGAGATGACACCTTATTGCTTTACTGTGGAAGGGTAACTAAGAGGGAACATTTTGTTCTCATGGACTAGTGGACAAGGGGGGTGTGTGTGGGGGTGTTTTTGTGCTTATTTGAAAGACAGAGTGGAGGTTGATATGTTGTGCTTTAAATTATATCATTTGGAAAAGGTTAGCCTTATTCTAATTGCAGTCACTTACCTAAGCTGCTCCTATGTAATTTGCTGAAATATCCACCTACTGTAATCCTTTGCAGGTTACAGCAAAACCATGGTCACTCTGGAAAACATTTCTGGTGTGTCTGCTGGCCTGTCTAATTGCTACAACCCTCGTTGTTCTGGTCTTATATTTTGTTCACTTTGGCAAGCACACCATGGGTACAACCATCGTCATTCACACAGACGGAAAGTCCAGTCATGTGATCTGCAACCCTGGTTCTACCGCAACTCCTGCCCCCATGCCTGGTTCTACCTCATCTCTTGCCCCCACCACTAGTGCTACTACTTCTCCTGCCCCCACCACTAGTGCTACTGCTCCTCCTGCCCCCACCACTAGTGCTACTACTTCTGCCCCCACCACTAGTGCTACTACTTCTCCTGCCCCCACTACTAGTGCTACTACTTCTCCTGCCCCCACCACTAGTGCTACCCCATCTCCTACCACATCTCCTGCCCCATCGATCCAGACTGAATCTCAGAGCACCCCACCACCTGCCACTGTGCCCAATCAAAGCTCTCCTACCACGGTGCCTCCATCTACCATGCAGCCAGCTGAAACCACCACCTCGGAACACGAAGTCGAAATTGAAGATGACGAAGGACATTTTTGAGCCCTCAGCCCTCCTCAAGCCAGGCCAACACTTACTCTGAAGGAGGCATGTCTAAGCTGTTCCGTCTTCTCTTCCAAGAGATTCCACAGCATTTGTCTTCATGAAATCTTGCCCCTCTTGCTCAATCATTTGCTGGAATTCCCATATGGTGATGACTCAGTCTTGGGACCGCCAATGTTCAAATGATTGGAAAAGAAAAATTTCACTGAGCCTGGTTGACTCATCCAGCTGGGGACCCAGAGTTTTGTCTTCACCCCTTCTGTACAACCCACCTCATTTATCACCCATGAAGATTCCAGCTGCTGAAGAGGCCACCAGGTGGACCTGCTCTACTTCACTTCCTACATGTTGGGTCTTAAGCCAGTATTTGCCATCTGTTATTGATTATTTCTCAGTCTATTATCAGCATTTGTATCCCAATAGGGAAAGAAAGAAATGTCCAATCAAAGTGGCTAATGAACATGGCATGGATTATTAAGTACCTACTAATCATTTCAGAAGTGTTCCTCCTATGGGGAATGCAGAAAAAAGGGGGTAAGTCAGTAAGGATAGGAATAATCAAGGAAGACTTCAGAGAAAGGCTGAAAGTTGAAAGGGGGCAAACATTTGGACTTAAGTAGAGATAATTTAAAAAGAAAATGAGAGGGCTAAGGGGGTTTAAAAGATTTAAAATCAAAAGCACACTTGGAATGTAACAGGTGATGTATTTTCTATATTGTATCTTTTCACTAATATTGTCGATATTATTTTCCATATTTAATATTCTGCCTAATCTCTAAACCACTATAAACTACTACCTAGAAAATTTGAATGTTTAAATTGTTTTATACTTTGCACTATAACTTTGAGGGCACATGGCTTATAATTTGCTATGAAACACAGACTCTTGTTCAATATTACTTATACTACAGGCCTGGTGCAAGAAATTCGCCCAGCCTGCACCTTCTCCAATTGGGGACCCCTTGGGGGACATCTCTCTTACAATCCGGGACCACTGGCTCCTAACTGCTCACCTGCCTGCCTGCCTGATCACACCTAACAGAACCCCTAATGGCCTGATCACCCCCAAATGCCCCCTGTGCTGACCTGGTTGCCCCCAATTGCCCCTACCCCCCACCAGCCTGATCGCCCCTTACTCCCCCGCCACCCCCCACCAGCCTGGTTGCCCCTTACTGCCTCCCCCCCGCCCCACCGCCGGCCTGGTTGCCCCACACAGCCTGCTATTCGGTTGTTTGGTCACCCCTCATTAACCCCCCTGCTGGCCTGGTTGCCCCACACAGACCACTGCTCAGTCGTTTGGTTGTTTGCCTGCCAGCCTGATCACCCCCTAACTACTCCCTGCCAGCCTGATTGATGCTTAACTGCTCCCCTGCCAGCCCAATTGTCCCCACCTGCCCTCCCCTGCCAGCCATCTTGTGGTGGCACCTTTGACGACATGGGGGTGGCCATCTTGTACGAGGGTGTGATGGTCAATTTGTATATTACCTCTTTATTATATAGGATTCTAAGTGCTTGATACTTAGTAAACATGTAGAAAGATTTCAATCTGGAAAAGGCTAGAGTGAAGCAGTCTTCCCATTCCACCCCCATCCTCAAAACTCCACAACAGGAAATAAGAATGTACATTTCCCTCCCTCCCCCCAGTATAGTATTAAATCAATTCATTTCTATTGTACTTTTGATTTAAATACTTGTGAAAAAGAAAGATTCAATTTACTAGGTTAAGATGTGCTTCCCTAGATGACTTAAACTTTGCTTTGTGATTTAAAAGTAAGAAGAGCTTTTAATAAAAAGACAAATAAATTTACGGCTAAAAAATGTTGGTAAAGTTTTGTAGAAGCCCTTCTACGTAACTAGATGTTTAGTAAGAGCTGCTGTTGCCTTCCTTTCCTTTTAGATAATATAGAATGCGGTGTGGTAATACAAGAATGATAATTTTCTGTGTTTAAGGAGAACCTACTCTTAACAATGAAATTCCTACATTAAATATTTGGTTGGAGGGTATTGTAATTAAGGGCATGTGAGATCATCAAGGTTCTGTGCTTTGTAAAATAGAGATGTGAATGAGCTCACAGATACTCTTTTGCTTTAGACTTTTATGGTTTAATAAAATATTAAAATAGTAAACAGTGGTGGAAAATATCTTCACAAGTTAAAATATGTAACAAACAAAAATTGTACAAAGTACTATGAAAATGCTGTGAAGTGTGCATATTCAATTTAAAAGTACCAAGTTTTAATGCTTTATTTAGCAAATATCAAAGCCACACATGTTCTAATATTTATTTTAAAAACTTATTCACCATACTCACATGACAGAAATAAATCTATTTTATGCTCACCACTATACCACCAACGCCTTGAAATAAATCTATTTTAAATCGAGAAGCTTCTCCATTTACAACGTCTCCTACAAGCACTTTTGTGAGTCCATTATTTGCTCTTAAATGCAAAGTAATTCGTGTGGGATCAACATGTTAAGTTTTCCAATACATTTTACCAAATAAGTGTGTAATTCACTTCTTTGGATGCCTTACAAAAAAATAAAAAATTCCATTGGGCAGTTGATTCCCCAAATCTGTCAATTTATTTATATAGAGAATCTGCTGTAATAGGTAGCTGCCCCATGATGATATTAAAAAATATTTTAGGGAACCCTTTCAGAAGTTATATTATTTAAGCCACTCACTTTGATTTTTTTCTTCTTCTTTTTTTGTAATTTCAAAAGGCTTTTGAACTTTGGGAGCATCTCTACTTTGTAACAAATAATTTGTACATTTTAACCTATTTAGTCCTTAACTTCTTCAATAACCCCCTAAGCTTCTTATTAATTACCATTAATGTGATATTTTAGACTCCGATATCAGTGATAGACTTTGATATCAGTGCTATAAACAAGTCCAACATGTTTCTAGATTGTCACTTCTATAGCTGATTTTTGTCATATCATCATGAGAGTATTTACAGAAATATTTTTAATGATTTCAGAGAGGAAGGGATAAGGAGAGAGAGAGAGAAACATTAATGATGAGAGAGAATCATTGATCGGCTGCTTCCTGCACGCCCCCTACTGGGGAACAAGCCCATAATCCGGGCATGTGCCTTTGACTGGAATTGATCTTGGGACCTTTCTGTCCAAAGGCCAATGCTCTATTCATTAAGCCTAACCAGCTAGGACCATGAGAGCATTTTTGAAATTTTGTTAAAGTCTCTCTTTGTCCTACAAAATGGTTCCTACCATCAAACAGTTTCTTCCTCAAATCAAATGCAACATTCTTCATTTTTTCCCACCAGTTTCAATTTTTAAAAATTATTTTTTTCTATTTACCCTGACTTCATATGAGACTTACTCCTTGGTGCTTTCACACTTATCACACAAGATGAGTTTTTAAATGTCCATAATGTGCCTGGCTGGTGTGGGTCAGTGTGAGCATCGACCCATGAACCAGGAGGTCACAGTTTGATTCCTGGTCAAGGCACATGCTGGGGTTGTGGGCTCAACCCCCAGAAGGGGGCATGCCAGAGGTAGCTGATCAGTGATTCTCTCTCATCATTGATGTTTCTAACTCTCTCACCTTCTCTCCTTTCTGAAATCAATAAATATATTTTAAAAAATTTAAAATGTCCATAATGTACCTCAAGGCATACCACAAACAAAACAAAAACATGGTAGATTAACAACAAAAAGGAGAAACTGACATAATTGTGCAGAGGGAGAACACCACCAAGATGTTCTGTCCCCGGACAAAGGTCACCCATTGGACAGCTCCTCATGAAGGAAAATAGCTCTGGAAGAGCTCAGGAGTCCACTGAAGAAACTTCAGCAACTCAGCAGAACAACAACAAAAGCCAGAATAATTGCAAATACAGAGAAGGAAGACAGTTTCATTTTGCCTGAATCACCCCATCTCCCATGGAGGCATTGTTTAGCGCCCAAGGGAATTTCCCAGCTAGAAAAAGTTTCCTGTGCCAGGAAAAGATGAGCAGGGTGAGCAGTCAGCTTCCCTAGCCCTTCGAGGCATCGCACGAAGATCCGGCTTAGGTCTTGCCCCACCCAGACTGCAAAGCCAAGGCATGCAGAGATGGCTATGAACATGAAGAAAAGCACTGGGTACCACGCAGCCAGAGTCATCATGGTTAGCGGCGACCTGTTCTACAGATAGATCCAGGGTTATTGCCTCTGAAGAAGGAACCAGTGGGCAGCGCAGCTCAGAGGACCACCTACAGATTTCACCAGTTTTTGCTCCCCAACTATTCAAGCCACCTGAGTTCCTCCTCACTTCCTCCCGTCCCTGCTCCCACTGGAGCCTGGTAACTACACCAGCAGCCAGCCCAGGCCACTGTGGCTATGGGAGTACAAAATCCCAGCACGGACCTTCACAGCTGATGCCCAGCCTTGTGTGCATGGCGAGAGCCACTCCAGCTGTGCAGTTACACTTTGCAAGCCTGATGCCAGTCACAGGCCCCCACTTCTGTGTCCATCGCTGGGGGAAGACTGTGTAGCCATGGGAGAGCACAGCGACAGTCAAGGCCCCACAGCTGCTTATAGGCTCAAATCAGGCCCTGTCTTTTGTCACTGGCCTGCACCCCTGTGCTTACCTCTAGCTAGCCATTCCAGCTGTGCAATACATCTCCAGCCCAACCCCTGACACTAGCCTCCATTGCAGTGCAACTGTAGGGAAATACAGGAGCCTGAGGAGTATACACGGCCAATCAGGACCCCTGTAGCTACTCATGTGCCTGCAGTTAGCTGCAGCCTGGCCACCTTCCCTGGCCCCCACCACTGTGTGTGTCTGCAAAAAGCCCCTGCCACGACACAGGCACCTGAAGCTGGCCCCTACAGGCAAGCGTGTAACACTACTATCTTTGGCCACAACTGCTGCCTTCTGTGGAACACAATCACTGGACCTGGAGATGCTGCTGAAGACCCCAACAGCCCTTGAAGCCATTGCAGACTCCTCACTGTGCTTGCCAGGAACCACATGGTTGTTAATGTTGTGGACTCTACTAGCCTCAGCCAAAGAGACAGCATGTCCTCCTGACCCCTTGCCACCACACACGTGTGCCCTACACCACTAGACTTGGTCTCAATGTGCTGTAATATGTCCCCTCTGACACATAAGAGTCCTCCCATACTGAAGTCAGTTCATAAAGTCTTAAGAGGTGGATCCTTCTTCAAATGTTGCAGACACTTATGCAAGGCTACTGAAATCATGGAGAATTAGAGAAACATGAATCTACCAAAAGAATACAGTAAACTTTCAGTAGCTGGCCTGAAAGAAATGGATTTCCAGGAATTACTCAACAGAAAATTCCAACTACTTGTTCTGACGATTCTCAGAGAGCTACAAGTTACACAGATAAATACTTTAACAACATCAGGAAAACAATTTGACAGAAAACATAAAATAAGAACCAAATAGAAATTTTGGAGCTGAAGGATTTAATTACTGAACTAAAAGATTCAAAAGAGAGCTTCAACAGTAGACTTGACCAAGCAGAAAAAGGAATCGGGAACCTTGAAGATAGATTATTTGACATTATGCAATAAGAGGAGAAAAAGAGTGGAAAAAAATCTATGTGATCTATATGGGTTACATCAAAACAATCAGTTTAAAAATTATTAGAGTTCTAGAAACAAAAGAGAGGAAAAAATGAACAGAAAGCTTATTTAAAGAAATAATGCTGAGAACTTCCCAATCTGGGAAGATATTTGGGCATCAAAGTTCATGAAACTCATAGGTCACTAAAGAAGTTCAAATAAAAAAGATCCTCTTCAAGACATATAATACAACTGACAAAGTAAG